TTTTTTTTTTAACGGAACGGAGCTTTAAAGTAAGGGTAACAACACTGCATGTTTAATGACCTCGTAAGAGATGGTTTTCCAATTGTGGGCTTGTAATCGAATTAATTACCAAGTTATTGATTAAAAAATGTCTTAAAATTAGAATGACAAAATATTTGCCTTTCCAATTAACAGATGCATACTCAAGGGCTTTGCAGAATACTGTTCCTATATTCCTTACATTAGACTCTTAATCTTAATAGAATAAAATGTTGCAGTAAAATTGAAAACATGCATTTATTTTTCTATCCACAAGACATATAATAACTTATATTTAAATATGCATTATTCTTAAAACTATTTAGTTTAGAATCACTTTCTCCATGATTAAAATATGAGTATGTTAGCCAGGGCTTAGGGAGCAATTAGGTCATGCCAAAGCCTGACAAAGGGAAGGTAGGTTACCAACCAATATTGATAGCCAGCCAAATTGTTATTTTTCTGGTGCAGAAATATTTTTCAGACTTGAAGCATACCTTCTCTATGTTTTAATTAATAAAATCAATTAAGTCATGGCAGAAAATGGACGTTGTTATCAACCATCAAAAATTTGTATTTTGTATTCAGGCTGAAGTCCCAGGTGCATTGGTCTGGAAGGGGGAAGAGCTGAGCCGCTAAAACTTTGGGCTATAGAAAACAATATTTCAAGAGATTTTCGCCATGTTGGGGACAAATGCTCCATGGTTAAAATTCATGTGACACCGATAAGAATGGTGTTCTGCATCAGAATTGGCTCCTCTGAGATGACCCATAACAAAAAGTGTTTCATAAAGGCCTCATTACTTTATTGAAATTAGTATATATTTCAAAATTTAACTATAGCATAAAGTATATTTATGAATAATATATAAGATATTATGAAGTATTGAATATATAATGGTTTATAAATATAGTATTTTAGGATAAAAGTATATGGTATGTTGTTCAATAAGTTAACTTTCCAAATGTACAGAATATGAATAGGTTAGAATATATAATGCCCTGTGATAAATAGATAAGTGAGATTTACATTTATATCTTGTTTAGCGTACTATATTTTTGTAATTTTCTTCATAGGAGGGTAGACAAAAAATATTTAAAAAATGACATTAGTGTACATTTCTTATAGCACAGGAAAATGAAAATTTATTGATCATAAATAAAAGGAAGTAACAGTAACTGCTGGCACCTTTCAATTTTTTATGGCAGTCGTACGTAAACAGGTCAAAAATAAACTTTTATTATTACTCTATTTAATCATTATAATCTTGTGATGGGTTCACAGAAAGAGTTATAAAAAGTCTCATATCTTTAGTCTGATGTTACAGTACTTCATTAAAAAAATTTAATTATGTTAGAAAGAATAAATTACCATCTTAATCTCAGACATCTGCAATAAAAAAAAGCAAAAATCATAACATAATATCTTAATATTACAGACTTACTTTATCACTTCTTAAAGTTTAAAACCCTGGATCTCAACCTTTTTTAGATTGGGATCCATTTTAAAACCATTCATAATGTCACAGTCACACACTTGGATTATTTGGGGAATGCTGCTGGCTTGAGAGTCGACAACAATTTTAAGGATATGACCCCTTGGCCTCAAAATGCTTTCCATTGTGTCTCAAATTTATCTCCTAAATAATTTAATCCATTAAATGGGATAAATTTTTTGCATATAAATTGAGATTTTTTTTAATGCAAACTGATTACATTTTCTGTGTAACAGAAATTAAAATACAAGACACTGTCATTATTTTCTCACTAAAGTAAACTCCTATCAACCTGATATCCAAAAGCAACAGGCATGCATTCTCAGCTGAAACAGACTCATAACAAACACTCTCATTACTGATATCATCAACAGCTGGGGATGCTTTGGACAACAAAATTTATTAGCCACTTTTAGTCATCTTTGTTTTATTTGCAAGAAAATTCACATAACATTTTAATTAATTTTTAATCCAAATTTTTAAACTCATGGATCCTCTTTGGACCAGAGGTTAAAAGTACTGTATCTGTTCACTTACATTTAAAGCTTTTTTACGCAACACCAGGCTACCAGACACTTTCATCAAAGTTTGCTGAAAAAAATGAAAACAATCAAATTTAAAACAAAATTGTTATATATCATTAGAATGGAATGATAGGAAAGGAGAGAACCAAGACAGAATGGAGAATACAGCAAGAGAAGCAGCAGCCAACAGGGACTAATGGGGGCATTTTGTGGTAGCCTTGTGCAGAGCATAATAAGCAGGTAAGGTAAGGTAAGGTAAGGTAAGGTAAGGTAAGGTAAGCCATTGACAGATAATTGTTTGACTTATTAATTTTGACTGATTGTTGAATTACAGATCAATTTTACTCTGACAGATTGATTAATTGGTTGATATATGATTGGATGATATGATTGATTGATGAATTGACTGATATATGATTGATTGATATATGACTGATTGATTTACTCATTGATATGATTGATTGATTGATATATGACTGATTGATTAACTAATTGATTGATTGACTGATATACAACTGATTGAAATACTGACTGATATATGATTGATTGATTACTTGACTGATTGATCTAATGGATTGGTTTTTGAATGACTGAATGATTGGCTGACTGTTTGATAAACAACAGGCCTACTGGCAATGCATATAAGAAACCATTCAAATATAGTTGATTGTGTCAATTTAAAACAACCTTTTGTGTTCTTTGTTCTTGAATGTTTTACCCAAATTGTTTATCACGGCTAGCTCCCTAAAGGCATTTGAGTCGCGTTTGAATGATGCATGGAACAAACATCATCTATTAAAATTATTTTTATTAATTCTATCAACTTCAAACTTTCTAGCACCAGTATGCCTCCAACAGCAGTTACAGTTTTGTTTGAAATTGGGCCATACAGTATAAGCAAATTTGCTTTTCACCGGCCCAGAAGTTACAGGCAAGTTTATAGGTAATCCTTGCATCTGTTTTTGCTGTTTTTTTTTCATGTTTTTTTTTTTGTCTTTTTACTCATTTAAGATTCAATTGTTTTAGTAAGGACAAGCAACTTAATTATTTAATTTATTCTTTGTCTGGGTTAACACAGACTAAGGCGAATAAAAAAAAATTCTTGTGTTGACCATGTTTTGGAAAAATCCAAAAAATGGGTTGGTCGGTAGGAAAAGTTTTTTTTAATTTTATTTATTTTTTTACCAAAAATTGTTTATGCCTAAAAAGTAGAAAATACAACAGAGACCATTTTAATATCTATATTGAAGAGCAAAACAATCGCATAACACTGTCACATCACCTACCGTCACAAGATAGGCCTATTCCAGCCTTTTTAGCTCATGAAAAAAATATTTTTCAATGGGAAAAAAAAAAAACAACTAAAATTCAGACTCTCAATTCTGAACATTTTGGGTTGGTCGGGCGTGGCCAACACAATAATTTTTTTTATTTGGCCTAATGGGTATTTACCTTCTGATCGGCTGAAAAGATTAAAGAATCTGGAGATGTTTCCTTACGGATTTGTTTTGCAAACCTACATTTTATTTGGCCTAATGGGTATTTACCTTCTGATCGGCTGAAAAGATTAAAGAATCTGGAGACGTTTCCTTACGGATTTGTTTTGCAAGCCTACAAAATGTATGAAAAAAAATTAATATTTAAAAGTATGAAAAGAAAAAAACTCATATACATTTTTAAATAATTGGTTACAGTATATATAAAAATATTTTAAATATCTTATTAATCGAACTTACCATAAATCTGAAACCATTTTCTTCCAAACTTAATTCATAAGATTTTACATAATATACAATGTATAAACTTACTATTAGTGTCTATAAATTTATCCAAGAGCATGCTTGATTGAAAGACTAATATATTTCCACTAAAAAACATGGAACGCAATTTAAAAATTGCAAAATAAATGCTTTTTGTATTATGTAATATCTACTAAAAAAATCACATTCAATCTCAGGTGCACTACTGTGGTGAATAAACAAATTTTTTGAATACAAATTAAATAGGTAAATATACTAACATGTCATATTCATCAACAGCCTCCACAACTTGTCCCCAGCTATCATAGTCAGTTCCTCTTTTAAATGATGTATTCCATCTTGATACTAATTTACTTATTTCAGACATAGTTTTCAGTTGTGCAGAAACATACAGAGATTGATGTAGTAGTGTAAGCAAATAATTTGATCTGGACTCCCGAGTCTGGCTATATAGAGATTGTTGTGAATGATTCTATTTGCATGCACCAATCAATCTATGAATCTAAAAAAATTATATTTAAAGACGTGAGATATCCAATTAATCATACATCACATACAAACAATAATGTAATTAAGGATCACCATTATGGCTTAAATCATACACAGTATGAGGTAAATATATATACTATTTAGATGCGACCTTTAAAAACTGAATACTGTAATTGAATAATTAAAAAACACAAAACACCATTAAAGTAAGCACCTCTACAGTACGGTGAAGTGAGCACCACTGGTCATCACCTCATAAAGAAAATGAAAAGAACTCCACTCACTATGATCTTGCAAAAATAAGGGTGATTGAGCTCCACAAATGATCAATCATTTTGGAAAGGATGGATCAAGTGACCTTCATAATCTTAAGTCAAGTGAGGCCTGTTTTTTCTTTTTCAAATAGATAAAGAATTAGACCATACTGTAAAGTATTTTAATTGCAGTACTTCAAAAAATAGCTCAAATTTGCACAGAAAATCCTACGAAAATAGGTGCACAGAATTGTTTAACTACTGCATAAATTACACTGGTTATATATTAACTTTAAGATTTGGTGAAAGCCTAATTTTCGAAATGATGGGCTTCTATTCAAGGTTTCACAGTATTCCTGCACAGGTCTTCTTAAGACCCAGGCCTACTTTACAGTCTAGGAATTAGAAACATTAAAACGAAAATACAAACTAATTTTACTTGTAATTAATAATAATAATAATAATAATAATAATAATAATAATAATAATAATAATAATGGTGGACTTATAAGGCGCATATTATTATGACCTCTATGAGTGCATCACAATGAAAAAATAAATAAGTTTAAAGATATAAATATTAAAAAAATATGTGGCTAAATATACTCCTACTCCTTTAAACTAAGTTATGGTTGGCCGTTATTAATTGATTGGCAGGCTAGGCCTAGAATAGACTAATTAAGCTATGTACCTAGACTACCCTTATTACTAACTAGTAGTTCTACTAGTACTACCTGGGCCTGGGCCTACCCTATAGGTACTAGGCCTAGGCCTAGGTAGCTACAACTTGGCTAGGGCCTAGTCTAAAAATAATACAGCAGCCTATCTAAGCCTAGGCTTAATATTATGAATTTATAGCATCACTATTTATATATTTATAGCATTCTACATTAACAATATAAATAACATTAACAATATAAACAAAAACACGTAAAATACCCGTGTAAACAAACTAAATGGAAAGTGACTTGGAGTAACCGGAAGTTGTTAGTATCCAGGGTAATTTATGTTCGCTTGTGTATATTTATGTACTCACCACAAAGTATAATAGGCTTTCACCATACGTTATGGAGAGGTAACACGACCATGTTTGATTAAACTCTGGTTGTCATTTGAACTACGCGACCGCGTAAAGTCCAACCTAACATCTGTATTTTGTTCATTCAGAGAAGCATGGCTAGTGCAGAAGTTGAACCGAAGTGGACTACTGAGGAAATTAACTCAGAAAGTGTCGGAAAGAAAGATATAATTGCATTCATTCAAGAACATGGCGCGAGAAAGGTTCCATTAGTTATTTTTTTTAATTATATGGTTGTTTATGAATGACGAGAAGGTGCTTGGCTTGGTTGTATTTGTGGTGGATGGGACTTTAACAGCAGAGGGAGGCAACAATATGGTTGGGACCCTGGATAGGACCTCTCCGAGCTGCCCTAAAGTTCACTATTTAACTGCGCACGGGCCTAGGTTGTAGAGCCTTTTGTTTTGCCTAACAACCATGTTTAACCGAATAATGCTGGTATTGTTTAGGATTACACATTTAGTATATAGGAAGAGGCCTATAATTATACCATTTCAGTTCATTGACAGTGGAATTTTACATTGCACAATATTTGTCCATCCAGGCTTTACTTACCTCTAGGCTCTAGGTAGGCCTAGCTAAGTACTATACTGTAAAGTTTTAATTGCGCGGAATTGCAATTGCTGCATAATTGCATTGGTTATGTATTAAGATTTGGTCAAAGCCTAATTTTTTGAAAAAATGTGCGTGGAAATCGGCTTTTATTTTCTAAAATGTGTGCATGCATTTTGGAAAACAGGGGCTGATTTCCGTACAAATCTTACATAAATTTAGACCTTTGACTGTATCATAAAATACAGTATTTTACAATTATGTACACCTTTTTTTTCTGTCGATTTTCCTTACAATTTTGAGTTAGTTTTCAATGTATCACACATGTTGTGTTTTTTCTATCCATAGGTTATAATATATTTTATTACTGTGCAAACTTTGCACCTTTCTCTAGTTTTTGGCAGAGAAAAAGATGCTTGGCGCCACCAAGAATATTGCAAAGGTCTTCAAAAAAGAGGCACTTGTAGCAGTCTACAATGAACTCTTTGAAACCAAGGTAATATCACTCATGGTATTATTCACACTCTCTCATACAATTACACACTTCAGCATAGCAAATAGCATTTCTCTAGTTCATTTTATATTCACCTTTGCAATTGATGTGCTTTTCTTAATCCAAGGCTTTCAAGGGTGACAATGAAGAAGAGGAAGAGGTAGTTCAAGTTACCAAAGCCACTGAAGAATTGAAAGTGACTGAGAAAGCTGCAGAGAAAGTACCCGAGGCAAAGGTATTGTGACATCAAAGACAACCAGCAAAATATTTATGTATTTTATTGTTAGGTATATATTAATTTCTTTCAATTATATTTAGAACCATTCAGAAGAACTTTTAGTTTGGGCTTTTGATTTTCAACACATCAGATTAGCTTAGTTGACTAAACTTATACTGAATACTGAAATAATTTATTGTTAAATGTAAAAGAAGGAAATGCAATCGAAAACTGGCAAACATTTAAAATCACAGTACTGAATATTAAAATCTATAATTTTTATAAACAATGAAAAATGAGTATATATATTAATATTTACAGGAGAAATAAAATTTACATACAAAATACACAAAAGGAACAATACATTAAGAAATAATAATATTATCATTAAGACGTTCCAACCCCTAGACCTGAAAAATTGGGAGATGTTAAAATTTGCAGGTGAAGGGCGCCCCCATTCGCACAAATTAGTGAAAAGCGCTCTCAACTTCAAAAATTGATAGCATTAACGTCTTCCAAGAGGGTATAAACGTAATCTATATTACCTGTCTCACAGCCTATGGTTTTTCATCCATGTGGACTAGTAATTTCATGTATTTTACCATGCGAATCCCATGTTTTTGATGATCTAGGCCAAGCCTAGTCTATAGTTTTTGAACAAATTTGGGAGAACGGCAGATAGCATGTTAATTCAAGAGGGTTTGAACCTTTGATCATTTGACTATAGTAACTATTGTGTGCGTGTGTCATTTATAACTGATATGATATGTGCTAACTGGGTAATGCTGTATTTGCAGAAAGAGCCCCCAAGGTACAAGAAACGAGTGTTAAAGAAAGGAGATGACCGTAGCAGGCCTCAAAAGGGTGACACTGTACATGTGTGGTACACTGGTAAACTGGACGATGGCACAGTGTTTGACACCAACATCTTCACAGGTGATGGTTCAAACTTATTCGGATTGAGTGATTTAATGGAGCTGTAACTCAACTAATCATAGTTTATTTCTCCTTTAAGTTGAAATCACTACTAAGTTAACAAAACCAATTTGTGAGATTTAAAATTTAATTGATACTAGTACTAAGTTAACATATTCATCTATATGTGAAAACAAAGCATCCTTTCATCCCCATCCTTTCTTGGCTTTGATGTACTGTAGCCCCTTCCATTATTCTCAATCACAAATATTTTTTTTTGTCACATGAATAGTTAAAATTTACCTGATACCTAATAATATCGCATTACAAGTTAATTATTTAATAATTCATTGACTAATAATGTGTGCATTGAAGTGGAGTTGAGTAGCTTAGTGGTTAAAATTCTTGGCCTGGGTTCTATTCCTGTCACAGCAGGACTTTTCTTAGAACTAAAACAACTCCACTCCCTAAGCCTCATAAAGAGACTTCGCTGATAAGAGCATCACATTATTTCATTTATTTAAGGAGGGCCCCTGAATATCGGCCGACATTCTAGGATACACTGGTAGGGTCTGTAAATACGGTTTAAAAAAACCATTAATAATTAAAATTATACCTTATAATAATTCATTGACGAATAATTTGTGTTAGATTTTACCAAGTGCTGATTTTAGCAGCTTTTGAAATGGTGCTTCCCAGGAAGCTGAGAATGTGTTCCATATTTGATCCATTGACTGGGGTAATACTGTAAAGCACATAGAGGCAGCTCATTGCAATATGCTGTATATTATTACTGTAACTAATGCAGTTGTTGATATATAATGTGCATTTTAATTTACTGTGTGTTCTTGGAAGTCACTGGCTTATGTGCATTAGAAATTACACTGCGCACTTTCAACGGCTCATAATTAGAATTTCATAGATACACTAAACCACACAGTACTTATTAAAAATGATTTATGGAGCCATCCATTATTTAATCATTTTCGGAGAGTACAAAGCACAGAAATGTGAAGCAACATTTTTTTTTGTATTGTTGAAGGATTGCTAATTATTGAAAATAATCAGTAGGTGGCAATCCCCTTCACAAGGCAAAGGTAGACAAGATGCTCTACATAAACTCACTATGAAGATTAGGGAGTGGTTGTGGGGAAAAATAATATGAATGACAGGAATTCGAAAGGCAAGCAAGCATCTTAACTGCCAAAGTACACCATTCTAATTGGTTTAATTTTTCAAGCCACAGTTTCAAATATGCAAACATTACCTAGGAAGAATTACAAAGACTTCCCAAGTCCCAAGCAATTTGACCAGAGTAAAATTAACTTCCATCTTGGTAAATTAATCCAATGAGATGCAATAAGTTATCTAATTAGTGATTAGTGCATTCAACATTGCATTGGAGGGGCTTCAGGCACTTTTTTTGCTTTATTCTCTCATCTGTACACTAATCTGCTAATCTATGGATATAATTATGTAGTAATAATAGTAGCAGCAGGAGTAAACTTTTTCATGATGTTGCCGTTATTGATTTTCATCTACCTATCATACTGAAAATACATATTACCTGCTTGAACCTGATAACTTGAATTTTCTTTCTATTATATATAGTGGGATGAGGCCTTATTGACCATGGGAATCCGTGAACGGTCAGAGATTGTGATTGAACCAGAGTGGGCATATGGTGCAAAAGGAATTGAAGGAAAGTATCCTTTGATGAAAAAGTGTTTCACAGTCATTATTAGATTCATCTGTTTTAAGCTAATAACATGAACAACAAACTTCAGTATTTGAATTTTGTATAAGTATGTTATTACAGAGAATGTTTTCTTCACCACTTAACAAATGCATAAATAGAATAAATTATTTATTATAAATGGTTTAAGCTGTGTGTCCTGGGCACAACACTCCACGTTTGGCTCTCTTTACCTAAAGCTTATAAATGGCTACTTGGTAGGAATGGAAGTGGTAGTGCAGAACTACACGCATGACTGTATCAGAATATTCTTCAGGGTGCAGAGGAGTTTGCACACTGTGTATGAATTGATTCTGTATCCAATGACCAGAAAAGAATATTTGAGGAATTTCCATTGAGAGCACCTTAGCTGAGTAGGGTAAATTGGTGGTAGAGGGTGTGTGTGTGCACTGAAATGTGCAAATCTTTGAATAACCTTGGTCCCCAGTTGCTCTCCTTGTGTTTCAGGTAGAGGGCTGAAATGCCAGTTTCAACAGTGATATGTCTTTTGTGATGGGATGCTTAAACCACTAGTTCCATATATGAGATATAGTATGCAATATAATCTTTGGAAAAGAGACTGAAAGCCCTTAATGGAAATATAGTATTGTATGTCATTGTACTTTTGTGAGTACCTTTGGTGTATTATGCACTTGAAATACCCAACCCAATTCTATTCTATTTTTTAACATCCTAATTCCTAATTTTGTTCACTCAATGAACCAAGTCTGTGGTTACATCAACAATTATTGTTACTGCACAGTTGTTTATATCAGTGTCCATCATAATCCTTATTTCATATTTTCAGTTTACATCAACTTGAGGAAGTGCATAGTATAATTACAAGTAAATTAAATTTCACTGTAATAATGTTTTTAAATGAATTTATATTAAGCATCCCAGGAGTGTTATTGTTTTGCCCTGTTTATTCATCAACTATATCTTAACTGGATAGATGAGGTTATTCCAATATAATGCAAGCTGTTTTTTCATGGCGCAATAAATCATTAGCAGTTGCATTAGAACTACTACTGCTTAATTTCATCAAGCCACTCTACATTGTTTAAGAGCAATCTGAAGATGCATCTGCTGCCTTTTTTTTTCTCTTTTCTCTTGTTTTCAATTCTTATTTGTTTAGTTAGATACACCAAATAGTTGAACACCTGTGAGTGCAGTGGAATGTGTGGTGTTCTTGTCTTTGGTTGCTTTGCATTCGCTATAATTTTGATAACCTTTGATTTTGAGTGCCTTGACCACTATTGCACTTTATATGTTCACTTTTGAAGGGGACTGATGGGGTGACAAACGTGAAATGGGAGGGCTCGATGTTTATATGAAGGGGTAGGGGATGCTAGCTGGCAAAATAAGTTGATGAGGGGATTTTTATTACTTTGGCATAATTTCTTTCATTCAAAATAGTTTATCTAAAATGTTATTTGACATTATGATACCAACATATTTAGGAACAAATTTTCACTCTGTTTTTTTTTTAAATCAGTTGTTTTTATTGCACTCCTTAATGAATATCTTCCAGAATTCCTCCTCATTCTAGACTAACATTTGAGATGGAGTTGGAGGCAATCAATTGATACAATACCTAATCTACAAATTTTTCACTGTGCATACAACTTGAGGGGACGTCATCAAGCACCCTGTCGCAATGGCAACTGCGAAGAAGAGTACTGTATCAATATTATTGCAGGCCATTAGACAACAAAAATTGTCTTCTCTAGGTCGGTGCATTTGCTCAAGTGTTCATTGGCCAATGAATTCTAATCTATGACAGTTCAGTTTATGGATTAACAGCAAGTGTAAGGCCTTTAGGTCATCTAAGTTTAGCATGATATACTGTTTGTCAACTACATTTTTTTGTATCCAGTGTTTTAAGCTACATCTGTTCTTTAATACTTCACTAAAATCATTGAATATTCTGTAACCAAATCCTGGAGACTGGAAATGTAGTTCTCATTGGTTATGCCTGCATATAGATTGACCTACCATATTCTTTAGTGAGAAAAAATAGATAAGACATAATATATAGTGCAACATATCCAAATATGGAAAGAATATTCAAGGCATGCGGTTTGAAAGTCATTTTTAGAATCGCCAACGTCCTCTACTAACTCAATATTGCATTTCGTATACACAAACTGTAAACAATTTACACTCAAAAAGGCAATATTCGAAATTCTTGACCTTTGTGAAAAAATTCACAAAGAAAATGTTAACAATTTAATTTGTGCAATTTTAAGCACTGCATCAAAATGATTTTTCCCCTAAGCACTAAAACTTTTAAATATTGTGGCACTTATTCATATTTTATCATTTTTAGTACTTTCTTTTCTATTTTAAGCAGTGTAAAGGTTTGTATTATCCAGGGGAATTTGTAGTTAGCTAACTATGGTAAATTAAACATTTTTTTTTTTCTATTTTTAAAGAAAGCAACAACTCTGCTTTATTAATTTCCTTTGTTTATATTTAAAAATACAATGTTATAATACTCAAAGAAAAAAATGTAGAAATTGACAAAATTATTTCAATATAGGAAGAACTGTACCACTATTTGGTATTTTAAAAATTGTATTCAACTCAATAGAACAACTGTAGAAACTGAGGTATTCCAATCCCCAGGGAGTTGGGTATGTGTTCTATATGTGTTGATCTAATTACTAGAATAATAATATGAACACACATTGACCTTTGCATTATGCATGTCATATTACTAATATTATTTTATGCTGTACAATCATTAGCATATAGGCATATTTGTTATTTAATTAACTAAAATATTGTTTATTTAAAGAAAAAAAACAACTACTTTGTTTATAAATTCTTGAAAATACCTGTGGCCATGAGATCCACATTCCCCTTCAGTGACAAAGTACCTCCTTTCCCTTGTCCACCTTTGAAATGATTTCCATACCCCAGACAACACCTAACACCACAGTGCACTGCCAGACTTACCACACCATATAACTATTTACAGCACCCTCACACTATGCCACCTTCCCCATAGTAACAACCCCCGCAGTGTACCATCTTCCCCATAATAACAACCCTCCACTGTGCCATCATCCCCATAGTAACAAACCTATCACTATTCCTATTCACGTCATTGCTTAACATTTTTTTGTGTGCATTTTGAAATTAGGCCTAAACGCATGGAGAGTAATACCTCCATGACAAATGTATGCGTTCCTTGTAAACATTAAAACTATATTCATAGATGTATGGGAAAATGATATATAATATGTTTGTACAATGATATTCTACCTGATAGTTGTTTATAGCTTATTTTATAAACGTATTCACGTGAAATATAAATAATGAGTGGCAAAACGTGCTTTGATGTCAGAAAGGATTTTTTTAAAGGAAAAATATATTCACCTTTGTAACAGTTTCGAAAACCATTAAAAGAATTTGTAAAAACAGTACGTATTAGTTAGTGTATTTTTGTTTCTCAAAAAAAAAAAAAATATTGTTAAGATAGTGGAGAATTCGCTTGTCATCATAATAGGCCTACTAAAGACATCCATTTAGATTACCCTAGGGCAGTAATATTAGTAATGGTGATCATGGAAACCCATTCCAAGACATGTATTGTTGTAATCCTAGTAATATTCAGCTCAATTAAGTAAGCTTATATATTGTAACCGTTTTTGTAGCACGATTCATTCCTTTAATTTCCGCCCTTAAGTCGTCTTGTAGATCGCAAACGTCCGTTCGTCCTTGTTGGTAGAAGCATGCGTTTATTTATTGATCATACACTCAGATTTGTTACAATAATAGATAAAGGGGGGGGGGGGTTTCCTAATTTTGATACTTTCCTCTGGTGATCATGAAAATCAATCTGTTTTTAGACTGCTCATCGATGTCCAATTAATCATGCCTTCGATTAAATTAACAGGATTTGATTTGATGCGTGTATATTACGATGGAAACAGTACACTGTACTCTGTAAACGCGTTTTTGATGCACACACATGAAACGCAATCCAGAAGCCATGATTTGTAATGTGAACCACACTAAATTAGACGCAAGCTTGGCATCATAAATGTATAGGCCTACATATATTTTTATGTATATGTGTGTTTATTTATATATATTCTGTATTGATGGAAATTAGTTGTTTTGTTTGCTATTTTGCATTCACTTTGGTTGGTCGTTCTTCTTTGGCTTCTATTAGTTAAGCATTATTTTAGGTTCCTTATCTGTGTATACTTTTATCCATGCATACACCCATGTACCCCCCAGTACAGACACCGAAACACAAATTACCCATTTATCATTCCCTTTTTACACCTAAAGTTCCCAACCCGTAACTAAATTAATTAGAAATACAAGCGCCGAAGTTAAAACAATTTTAAAAAGGAAAATAAATTAAAAAAAACAACACAAAAGCATTTAAACAACACAATGCCAAATGAAAAACCAAACCCAACTTCTACCAGCCCCCAAACAAGGTAGTTCTTATATTTTACAATCCAAATAAAAACATTCAGTGTTTTAATGCAGGAACGAAAACAAATAAAACATTAAAAAACATTAATTCTCTCCGGTCATATGAACAAACGTGTTAATAATCTAATCATAGTCATAATAGTAAACCTGTATATTTTAAATCAAAATGTGATTCTGTCGACCAACAAATACAGATCGAAATGAACCAGTGAAATACAATGTACAACCAGAAGAATATTTTAAAGTAATTGGGCATTAATATTGTTTAAGCATGTGAAGTTATTTCATAATAAGCCACTTGTAGGCCTATTTGTGTGTTTTTTGTTTTGTTCTTTTTTTGTTATTTTTTTTTGGGTTAGGATGTTTAGTTTTATTGCATGTACGATTATTATGTTTTGTCTCTTTTGTATTGTCATGTTGAATAATGAATGAATTAAAAAAAAATATCGTTAAAAAAAAAATCTGAGCTTTGTAAAGGCCATTGACATAATGTATGAGAATTCTCACAGACAAAATTGTTTTCAACTTTTAATCTGACAGTGCCATTTCCGGCCATCTAGAGGTGCCATAATTACAAATTTTCTTACCTCAGCCCTAACCATGGTGGGGCTGAGGTGGTATAGATCTTCCATCTGCTAAAGTGGCGAATTCAAGGGGACCCAGCCGGCCCTCCCCCCGCCCCTAAATTGTTTGCCCCAAAATGGAGATCTGGAAGTGCAATTTCCGGCCATGAGGTGCCATAATCACAAATTTTCTTACCATGGTTGGGGCTGAGGTAGTACAGATCTTCTATCTGTGAAAGTACCCTCCCTGGGCCCTTCTATTTCGAATTCCTGGATCCGCCACTGGAAATTACAATAAACATGAAGTACCCAGTGGCAAATTCAAGGGGACCCAGCCCCCGCCCTTTAAATTGTTAAAAAAAATGGAGATATAAAGATAATTATATTCAAGTTTTATGTCTGGAAGTGCAATTTCTGGTCATCTAGAGGTGCCATAATCACAAATTTTCTTACCTCAGCCCCAACCATGGTGGGGCTGAGGTAGTAGATCTTCTATCTGTGAAAGTGCCTGGGCCCTTCTATTTCGAATTCCTGGATCCGCCACTGGAAATTACAACAAATATGAAGTCATACTACAGTAGCTTGATGCCTATAAAATATGAAGTACCCAGTGGCGAATTCAAAGGAACCCAGCAGGCCGCCTCGCCCCGGCCCTAAATTGTTAAAAAAACAAAATGGAGATACTGTATAAAGATAATTATATTCAAATTTTATGTCTGGAAGTGCAATTTCCGGCCATAAGAGGTGCCATAATCATGAATTTTTTTACATCAGCCCCAACCATGGTGGGGCTGAGGTAGTATAGATCTTATATCTGTGAAAGTACCCTCCCTGGGCCCTTCTATTTCGAATTCCAGGATCCGCCTCTGGAAATTACAACAAATATGAAGTCATATTACAGTAGCTTGATGCCTATAAAATTCACCAAACTTCGTAAAGTATCCGTAGCTTCCAGGGGACTTCGCCTCCTGGACCCCCACAGGGGCCCTTCGCGTCCCCCTGTCCCCCAGCCTAGATGCTCGCTTCGCTCGCATATTGGACCTTATGAAATGCCGCCCCCCTAAATTTCAAAAACTTTCCGCAGCCGTTGCCAAAATCAGATTTACAATGACATGACTCCAATTTCATCCACACTCATTTTACCGGACATTGCTTTAGAGAATAAAATATATAATAATAATTTCAGACCTTTAAAAAACCTCGCAGAGGCAGGCATCCCCTTGATCTATACATGGGGTTGTACATTGTCAAATGGAATTTAAAAAAAGTTTTCTACTAAACTTTGCTGTCGAACAGCTTATCGCACAATGACAGCATACACAACGGCAATTTTTATTTCATTTAAGCATCTCATTTCTTTCAAAAATTAACAAGTAAAAAACAAATACTGTACTCAAAAATGTTTTATCAAAGGGCCAAAACTAATTTTTTGTTTAATTTTTTATTAATCAACATCTGTTGGGAATAGAAAATACATGTTTGTAACTCGTTGGTCCGATAGCTTCTTTGTGGATCCTAGATTGAAGGAACTAATTATAAACGGAGTAATATTGGCAGTTGAAAGTTGAACTCTCAGAAATTACCTGTAGGGCCTACACTGTCTATAAATACATATTTCATAAAGCTACTTTCCGATGAAATTACTGCTGTACATTTCTATTCAAGCAAGAAATAGAATCAAAGTGTACTCTATTGCATTACTTCGTTTTCCTAATTTATGATGATATTGAATACGCTTTAGGCATCCGTTACGGAAACGTTTTGCACTTTAGCCATTGAATTTCATTTGTTAGGCAACATAAACTTAGAATATTTGATTTATTGCATGTTTGTGAAAAACATATACAGTAGTTGACATACCCATGCAGAATAACCTTAGACTGTTTATACAGTTCAAATACAGGCATTACAATGCAGCTTTGCTCAGTCGGGTAATCGGTGGTAGCCACTGTGTGTGCGCTGAACCGTGTGCGTAGAAGAACGCAGTAAACTCTTCGGAAAATAGGGGATTGTCTCCCAGTGTACTGCCCAATCACCACCACAAGGACCGTACTGGAAATTATTCTTTTTCTAGACTTTCGTAGGTAATCCTTGGTATTTACACCGAAAACCTTAACAATTATAAAAGAAAAGTTTAATTTGTTTTAAATGAAAGGTGGTCTTAATAGGTTTAATGACACTGCGTGGTCTTAAATCTTCTACTTCTACGTTGATACTGGAGCAGATCCCGGCTGGCTATATTTTTTCAAGGTGCAAAGGTGACAACACTTGTGGTCGTATCAAAATAAACATGTGCAGACAATATTTACAGGACCTGTCTCTTATACACTGGAAATTATTCTTTTTCTAGACTTTCGTAGGTAATCCTTGGTATTTACACCGAAATCCTTAACAATTATAAAAGAAAAGTTTAATTTGTTTTAAATGAAAGGTGGTCTTAATAGGTTTAATGACACTGCGTGGTCTTAAATCTTCTACTTCTACGTTGATACTGGAGCAGATCCCGGCTGGCTATATTTTTTCAAGGTGCAAAGGTGTATATATATATATATATATATAACATGCAAAAACAATGAAAAACGGTGTACAATCATTGAAAGTTGACTTGCGGAACACAAATTTATTAAGCTATAACAATATATATCTCTTTGGTGTAGATATAACAAAGGTACTATAAGATCGTTAAAAGTCTGCTATAATAATGCCCTTCGTTTATTACTGCGACAACCGAGGCACTGTAGTGCGAGTTTTATGTTTGTATCCAATGGTGTACTGTCCTTTGGCGAGTATCTTAGAAACTCTATACATAGTTTCAGGAACGGTGTGAAAATCATCTCTAATTCAATCATTTTGGCCATTAAGCATTATGCTCTTTCCAATTCTAAAATGTATAATCAATGGAACATTGTCGTACATTAAGATGATTTCCTGATGTTTTTCTTGATTCAGTCTATTTTTTTACTTTTGTCTTATATTTATATGTAGGCTATTTATATTGGTTTAACTGTTCTTTTGTATGGACATGAAAATCCGAAATAAAAGATGAATGAATGAATGATATGCCTATATAAAGACATACCAATGACATTGGAAGACCAAAATAAGAAATATTAAATGGGCCAAGTAGGAAAATAAAAACGTCACAAATTTCTGTAGGAGGCTAGCTGTTTCAATAGTATGTACTAATAGTTATAAAAATAATAATACTGTATTTCTTAATGTGTTGGAACACTAGTTGATTGTAGACTAAATGACAAATAAAATACTTATATTAAAGGGATACTACCTGCCCTTTAATGATGCCGAAAACTTTTTTTTACGTAAACGATAATACAAGTATATAGGCCTATGTATTGTATTGTGTATAGTTTACTTACCGTACTAGATATTAGCACAATATTCACATAGCT